TGGCTCATGGCTGATGGAGCTTGAAGGGGGCTCCAGGGACAGATGGACATGAAGAGATTAGACTAGAGAGCCACAGAGATCCATGTAAGGGAGCTCCCCACCTCCTCCTCAGCCTTTCTCTTACTGTTTGCATTAAAATCCAGGGCTTACTCACTAAAGATGCATTGCCTAAAGCATAAAGTGATTTCCTAGTACCACACTACTTAAACCAAGAGCAAGAAGAGACGCTTGCTCAGCATGATCTTGAAGAACACGGTTTTGAAAGTAACTTCTCTGTTCAAATCCCTGTAATTTCACAAGTCTCCTCGACACAGAATTGAGAAAGCACTGTACCTTTGGGGTCTCTTGGAAGGTTGCCAGAAAAGGAGGAAGAAGTATCAGAGCAGCCAAAGACCAGTGCTTGTACTAAGGCTACCAGAGATGACCCCCACCTCCGCCCCGCAAAAAAAAAAAAAATCAGAATTTTGTGATTTGGCTTCATTTTGGTTTTTGGAAAGTACCTGTGCTTGGTCTGGTACATTTAAAGTTAATTTAATTTTTTTAACAAGAAAGAGTTTGAGAAAGAACTTTTCATTTCATAAGCCCTGTGACTACTGTTTTATTTTTCATAACTGAGAGATTGCTTCTGTAAGTACACGGCCATGTTGAAAATGTTCACCATGATGTTGAAATAGAATAGGAATTATAAGACTTAAGGAGAACCAGTTGATTTAAAATATATACCAGTTTTTCCTTCTATTGTTAAAAGTAGGCTGACAACAGATCATTAGGTAAAGAAGAAATCAGATGACTATGGACTTTCCTGAGATAAAAGGATCCTTGAGAAACAAATTACTACATAGAATTTGACAAATGGCTCAAGTGAATGTTTACTCCTAAACACAGGATATTCTAAAGCCTATTGTTTGGAGTATTTATGTTAAGATTTCTTAAAAATTATTATCTTTTGAAATCCAGCATACTCTTTTTTTTAAGCTTTGTTTTTTCAAATTTTTTGCTTTATTTTTACTTTTTTTGTTTTATTTCTTTTTTTTTTTTTGAATTTTTAATATTTATTTTTTAGTTGGTGGACACAACATCTTTGTTGGTATGTGGTGCTGAGGATCGAACCTGGGCCGCACACATGCCAGGCGAGCGCGCTACCGCTTGAGCCACATCCCCAGCCCCTGTTTTATTTCTTAAATTGTTCTAATTAGTTATACATGACAGTAGAATGCATTTTGACATATTGAAGCTTCGTCATTTCTATTATGATTTTTCATGGTGAAAATCTGGTATTAGGTAGGCATTCTCTGTACCCGTATAGTACCACTCCAAAGGCAAAGAACCATGACTGAGAAAAGTTAGATATCGGGAATGTAGACTGAAGCATGTACATCCCCATATCCTAGAAACTATTTTGATACTGCTTTTCTAATTAAAATTCATGTCTGCCTGGTTTTTAATGTTAATGCCTGGCTCACTAGTTTCAGTTTCCTTCTTGCCTCACCAACAATACTTTCTCTTGCATACACTAGTATGCTACCATATAAAGGAAAAAATATATTAGAGATAGTCTATGTTTTATATATAGGTTTATGTGTTAGTGGGGATGTTTATACTGTGCTGTTTATACAAAATAAAGAATTATATGTTGAGGAAAAAAAAAAATTCAGTCTACCTGGACACTGGAGGTCAGGAGGCTCGGAGTCGTGGATGTGAATGTGTGCTGTATGTTCTCTGTGCCAAGCCAGGCAAAGTCTCCAAGCAGGAGAGACACTAGACACATGGTTGGGCCAATGGGCTCTCCTCCCATTTCTATTCCCCTCACCCAGACTTCCCCACAGACATCAGAAGTTACCCTTAACTCAAAATATTTTATTGTGTTCAAATAAAAATTGTCCAGTATGGTTGGTGGCCACTGGGGGACAGAAAAATCATAGGATCAGAGTTGGGGAAGCTGAGGATCAAGTGTCCAGCATGTCTGTCCAGTGTTCCTGTGGAGATAAGAGCTTGGTCAAAGGCAGCCCAGGAGATGGAGGTGGATGAAGCGAGTGGGGGCCAGAATCACCTCTCACCTCTTCTAATTCTGAGCCATCCTCTTCCTCCTCAGTGCCCATCCGGCACAGCCGAATCAGGTCTCCCCAAAGCAGTGAGTTCTCACAGCTGCCAAGGGTGAAGTTGGTAGGAGATGATACAGAGTCAGGCTTCTCAAGCCCCCGGCAGCCCTGGCCCTGGGTGGCCAAGGAATCATCTGCCCCAGCCTGGACTGGACCACTGGGCACCCTCTCCCCAGAGCTAGGCCAGGCTGGGAAAGAGGACAGCACTCACCTAGGACATTGGCCCTCTAGGGGCAGAAGCTGCCCTGGCTCTTCCTGAAGAAACTCCTCTGCCAGGCAGATCACATGGGTCTTTAGGGGACAGCCAGGGTGAGGGCAACACAGGGGACTGTCTTCATCCTGTCAGAGGTAGTAAAGGAAGGAAAGGAAGACTGGAAATAAGCTATTTATTATTGAGTGATCAGAAGCCAGGCCTCCATCTGTTAACTTGTTAAGTATTGATTGATCACCTACTCTGTGCTAAGTGAGTGAATAAGAGTTGCCCTCCTGGAGTTTAGTGTGAAGAGTGGGGAAGCTGATTAGGAAATAATAAAATATAGCATGTGAGACAATAATAAGAATTAAGGGGAAAAGTGGGCCCTACAAGGTGGCCAACACCTGTAATCCAAGTAACTAGGAGGCTGAGGTAGGGGGACCGATCACATGTACTTAGCCTGTCTAGACAACTTTGGGAGACTGTCTCCCACAATTAAAAAAAAAAAAAAAAAAAAAAAACCAGAAAGGGCTGGGGATGTATTGGGTTTAATCCACCATACCATAACAAATAAATAAAAGGGGGGGGGGACTTAAGAGCTTTTTTTGTTTGTTTCTGGTTTTGATACCGGAGATTGAACCCAGAGGCGTTTAATACTGAGCCACATTCCTAGCCTTTTTTTTATCTTTATTTTTATTTATTTACTTTTATGTGGTGCTGAGGATCGAACCCAGGGCTTCATGCATGAAAGGTAAGCACTCTACCACTGAGCCACAACCCCAGCCCCCTAGCCCTTTTTATTTTAAGACAGAGTCTTGCCAAATTGCTGAGACTAGTTTTAACTTGCAATCCTCCTGCCTCAGCCTGCAGAGCTGCTGGGATTACAGGTGTGCACCACTGCGTCCAGCTCAGAAAAAGCTATAATTTTAGATGGAGAGGAAAGGCCTCACTGAGTTGGTGGCATATGGTCAACTCTGAAGGTCTAGAACTGCACCTTCCACTCAAAGGGAAATGACCAGGGCCCTAGATTAGTAGTGAGGGGTCCAGGAACCATGCACATACTTTGGGTGGCAAAGCTGCCAATCAACGCATCAGTTGCGTGTCTGTTCAACAAATGTCTTGACCTCAAATCTTCTGAACCCCAGTCCTGCCCCTACTTGGCGCAGATCTCACCTCAAGGGTGCGGGAGCAGAGAGTGCAACAGGATTGTGCGCCCGGGTCCTTTTCAAGCTCCCTGTCTACAACAGGCCCAGCGCAGCGCTTCGGAAGCTGGGCCCGGGGAGGCGGCGGACCGAAGGCCAGCGGCACATGTGGTGGAGGGGGAGGGCAGAGATCCTGGCGGAAGTCCTGGCGCAACCAGCGCAGTGTGAGCGGTAGACGCGCCCAGGGTGGCGCGCGCAGCATGTGCGCAAGCACTCGAAGGTGGAAGGCGAAGGTTGCCTCACCTCGCAAGCGCGGCCCCACGTGTGACAGGCGACGCGAGGCTTGCGGGTGCTGCCAGGCCCACTCGAACTGCGGGCGGGAAAGACAAGAGCGTTGGGGCGGCCGAGACTGCAGTCGCATAGTGACATTGCGAGCTCACTCATCTGTCCACCACCCAACTGTCTTTCTTACCCGAAGGGCGGCCACCGCAGATGGGAAGCCGTGCACGATAAGCACCATCTCCCTGGGGAGGAAAACAAGGGCGCGGTCTGTGAGCCCCCAACCCACACACACCCCACGTGATGCCGAATCCCTAACCATTGTACGCTTCCAGTCCCACCAAGGGTCATCCCCACACGAGCTTCAAGCCTAGAGACGAGGCTCCCCTCCCTTCCTGCAGGTACATGCCCTCACACCTGCCAACCTCAGGCCCCTCAGCCAGTCGCAAGGACTTAACAGTCCTTGGGTCTTCTCTCTCTTTCTCTCTCTCTCTAGGATCTGTTCTGTTTCAGAACTTGCTCACCATGTCCCCAGTCGCTAGACCACTTAGCCCTTGACCCCCAGATGCACCGGGCTCGGTCTCCCGGCCCCGCCCTTCGGGGTAGCCCCACCCAGTTACTGGGCCTGCCCGCCACCACAGGCCTGCCCCGCCCCTATTATCCTGCCTCTGCCCAGCCGGGTCTTCCTCCCAGAAGCCAGTCCTGGGACCCGCCGCCCTACCAGGGCCCTCTCCCGCTGGTCCTCCAGGCCCCGCCTTTTTTGCGACCGCCGTTGTGCTGCAGGACCCGACGAGCGGGGTTGACCGTGAACCCCACGTAGACGCGGCCTCGATGCCGAGGGTTCAGGCAGTAGAGCAGGTAGACGCCGAAGAAACGCTCCGGCCTCGCTTCGCTCCCCGTAGGACCCATCGGGACGTTGTAGGTCAGGGGCCGAAGCTGGGGGTGAGTTCTGTAACCGCGAACCACGGGGAGGGCTGGGTAGCTAGGACTGCAACATGCTTGTTTCGGCGACAGCGAGGCACCTTTGAGCCCGCCAACAGTATGGGTTCGTGCACCGTCTCCGAGCTGAAGCTTGGTGCCAACACCGGGCTGCAAAACCCAGACCACTTTGCAGACTGCTAGAGCCAACCAATGAGCGTGCGCTCGGGGAGGGTCGGTCGTCCTGCAGACTCTGATTGGCTAACAGATGGTAAGCTCGAAAACCCTTGACTGTTGGCATTTCACCCGAGTCTGAGGGCGGAAGTGCTGCGCTTAAGGACGCCCTAGTGAGGGCGGAAGTAGATGTCTTACCGGAAGTGGCTCCACTAAGGGCGGAAGGCACCGAGGCAGGTCCTAGGTGGGTTTCTGTCCCCGCCCGGCTGCCGCGATGGAACTCAGCGCAGACTACCTCCGGGAGAAGCTGCAGCGGGACCTGGAGGCGGAGCACGTGGTGAGTTAGGTCGTCTGAACCCTCCCCGAGAGAGAAAAGGAAGCCTGGGAGTGGGTTGGACATGAACCCCATCCTTCTGCCCGGTAGGAGGTGGAGGACACGACTCCTGGCCGTTGCGCGACCAGCTTCCGAGTCCTGGTGGTGTCGGCTAAGTTCGAAGGGAAGCCACTGCTTCATAGACACCGGTAAGTGCAGAAACTGTTCGTTGAGCGCGGCCCCAGTTCCAGGACCACAACCCTAGCCACTCCCCCATTCCCATTTATCTAACCCCTACCCAGCAACATGGCCCATGACCCCTGGAGCGTGGGTCATGGCCACCCACGCCACCCAGGCGTCAGCCTGCTGTTTCTCAACTCCAGGCTGGTGAATGCGTCCCTAGCAGAAGAGCTCCCGCACATCCATGCCTTTGAGCAGAAAACTTTGACTCCAGACCAGTGGGCTCGGGAGCAACAGAAATGAGGGACCGATGCCTGCGCAGCATTAAACAACAAATCAGGGCCAGCTTCTGTGTCTGTGTGTTGTGTGTGACAGGGGCACTGAAGCTGAGTGTACTGCTTGGCTTCTCCCTGCCTTGCTTCGATTCAGGTTCCGCTCCCCATGTAGCCTCTGTGTCCAGCTTGTAAAATGAGATTCTGTCCTTAGGTCTCTTCCAGAGTCTGCCTTGCAAACCTTTCTTGTACACGCCAAAGAATCTGTATTGCCACTCCCCACCCAATCATGCCTGGAATTCTACCTGCTGAGGAGACTGAAGCAGGATAATTACAAGTTCAAGGGCATCCTGGTCCACTTAGTAAGACCCTATTTCAAAATAAAATAAAAGCTGGGCATATGCTTAGTGCCTACCTAGCATTGTGGAAGGCCCTAGGTTCAATCCCCAGTTCTGCAAATATTAGTAAAAATTCAAGAGATGAGAACCCTGATGAGCTGAACAAAATGGTCTCTCTCCCCAGCATCACCGCAATATCAGAAGCATCCCCCTCAGACCCCCTCAGCCCTTCACAAACCTCAAGGGAAGTGATGTTAAGCTGGGGGCTCTTCACCAGCTGGTGTGCTGATGTTTTGTGGCCCCCTTCTGAAAGAAGTCCCACTAGCTTCATAGCCCTGGACTTTAGTATCCACAGGTAACCTGTGAGAACCATGAATTTTTCAGGAATGTGGGATGTGCTTAGGACATAGGGATAGAGCAGGAAAATAAGGCACAAAACTGGGGAAGGTACATCTGTATCAGTCTTAACCATGGGTTGGCAGGACTTTGTACAGTGTTTTCTGAGACTCAGGAGGGACACCAAGTGAACCATTTGGACCCAAGTCTCTTTAAGAGTGAGAAATGAGACGTTTCACACATCTCACCCACTTTGTTACCTGTGTTTTTGAAGCTAGTTTTTTAGTCCGTCAATTTCCTCTATCCCCTACCTTCCTCTCTTGCTTCTCTCTGGGAGAGAATGGGCTGGTAGAGCTGAGTCATGGTGGTTACAGACAACCTTTCTGGATCCAAGGGATCATTTCCTGAAAATTTTTAAGTTCTCCTGAACCAAAACTAGTAAGTCTACTCATGAGAACTCCAGAAGGGCCCATCATCTCCATAGTGCAACAGAAATGCAGAGAAGGAGTGTCACTCCTTTAAGAGGCCCAACCTCCAGCCATGCTGGGATCTACCATTACATTCGCCCAGCTGTGATGATTGCCCTTCCATGATTCCCCCCTGAGGCCTGGAGAGGTGACTTGTGCAGGGTCACGCGGCTTACACAGAATGAAGACCTGAGTATGCAGACAGGAACATTTGTACATTGGTACCCAGCAGTCTCTACCCTGATAGCTTTCTTCTGTGACATGCTGATGACATGGGGGCTGGGAATGAGCTTTTGTTGTCTTTGCAGGATATGAACCAAGTTCTGTTGTGGCCAAGACACCCATTCCAAACAGCCCTGTGTCATCCTGGTTCAGTGGGCATCATCCACTAAATTGAATTGGGCATCAAAACCTATTCCCAAGTCCTCTCTTTATATTTGTGTTTGTTTGCATGCTAGGGATTGAACCCAGGGACACTTTACCACTGAGCTTCATTCCCAGGCCTTCTTATTTTTTGTTTTTGGTAAGTTGCCCAGACTGGCCTTGAACTTGGAGTCTTCCTGCCTCAGCCTCCCAAGTGGCTGGGATTATAGTCATGTACTACTGCACCTGGCCCCAAACTTTTTTTTTTTTTTTTTTGTACCAGGAATTGAATCCAGGGGTGCTTTACCACTGAGCCACATTCCTAGCCATTTATTTTTGAGACAGGGTTTCACTAAGTTGCTTAGAGCCTTACTAAGTTGCTGAGGCTGGTCTCAAACTTGCAATCCTCCTGCTTCTAGCATTCCAAGTTGCTGGGATTACAGGCATGCACCACCATGCCCAGCCCTAAGCCCCCTCTTGGTAGGGTCCTACAGACCTATTCCTGCCAGGTCCCCCTTTCACAGAAGCCACACCCCAACAGAACCCATAGAAAGGGCCCCAAGAGGAGGTAGTGCTATAAGGGGAATTTCTGAACAAAAATGGAGACTTAGATTGTCACAATCTGACCTACAGCAAACTGTTTCTAAACTCTTTCCTTACAGAAAGCCTTGCTATTTTTATCCTTTGAGTTTGCAGTTTGAAAGATGACCAGTGCACAGTGCTCACTGGATCATGTCCCCACAAGCAGCAGTGTCAGTACAGTCCTGAGCAACCTGGTGTTTTGGTTGACTAGGCACAGCAGAATTGAGGTAAACATGGGAATTTCTGATGTCGGGAGCCACTCTGGAAATACATACCCTTAAGTCCTGAGCAAGAGATACTGAACAATTATTGTGCCCCACAATAACTTGGGCTTTACCTCCGCTCAGATACCCCCAGCAAGGGCCTGCCAGTTCTGAGAAGGAATTGGGAAACAAAGAACAAGCTCCCAACCCACATCAACATGGGTGGGTTCCCCCAACAGCCTGTGCTGTAGGGTATTCAGAGAGGGACCCCCCCACAGCCCTGATGGGGACAGTTCCATCAGGGATGCTAAGGGGGAAGCTCAAAGGTAGGTTAGTTTATCAGGCCCAGCATCCCAGGTAAGCAGTCATCAGAGTCTGGAGAAGTACAAGAAAATAAAGCCATTTTATTATTGTTTCTTCTTTGCCATGATAGCCTGAGGCCTAGGTGGGAGTGGAGGGCTATGAGTGGCCTCCCCCAGCTGAAGGCCTTGTGCCCTCTACTTGGCCTGGACTGTCTCCTCCAGCCTGTCCAGGCGCTTCTGCAGCTCCTGCACTGTGGTCTGCAGCTTCTTTATCTCCTCCTCCAGCCGGGACACAGCATCCTGGGTAATCCAGACTAGATTAGGTTTAGCTCCTTCTGGTGTCCCCCATTAACCTGGCATCTGCTAAACCCCCTTCCAAGAATCCCAGAATTTGGGCCCTTCTGTCTGTCAGCCAGCTCCTGCCCAGAGAGTTGTAAGCCTGTAAACCCAAATCCTGTTTTTGTTTTGGTACCAGGGATTGAACACCAGGATGCTTAACCACATCCCAGCCCTTTTTTTGTGTTTTATTTAGAGTCAGGGTCTTGCTGAGTTGTGCAGAGCCTCTCTAAATTGCTGAGGCTGGCTTTGAACTTGTAGTCCTCTTGCCTTAGCCTCTGAGCTGCCGAGATTACAGGTGTGTACCACCATACCCAGCTCCAAGTCCTGTTTTTTGAGGCCTCTGGATTACCCACTCAAAGTGCCCCACCATTGTGACCTTGGAAAGCTCCAGACACCAGCCTGCTTCCCCTGGAGCACTGATCACCTCCATGTAGCCCCTTCCCCACTTCACCATCTTCCCGTTCTGCCTCCCCGCCCGCCTCTCACCGAGCTGGGAGTGCCACTGGCCTCCGGCGCTGCCCTCCTGCGTGTGCTGTCCAGGCCCCGATTGACCCGCAGCTCCCGACTTTTGGGGGGTACATAGCCGTCCTTGAGGGAAATGAGGAGGGGCCCAGCATCCTGACCCCCCAGCCACTCCTCAGCTGTGAGGGCAGGGTCAGGCCCTGCTGTGGGTGGGTACAGATCCTCCTGGAACAGGTCCGACTGTGGGCAAGGCCAGGGATGGTTATGGGAGTGCTAATGTCACCATACCACCCTGCAAGCCCAAGAGGTCAGTGCCCAGTCTGGAGCCCAGGAAGGGACACAGGACCATCACCTTTCTAGGCACTGTCATGGCGATGGGCTCACACTTCCGCTCGTGCAGCTTGTAGAATCTGTGGAAACAGGAAGGTGAGCAGCGCCTGGAGCCTGCAGGTCAGCACTGCCCTGGGAGCAAGCCCCGATCAGGGGTGGGGGTCAGTCACCTGGCAATCTCACACTTGTTCACTTCCAGGCCACGTTTGGGCATGTAGCCCATGCCACGCTGGGACTCCTTGGAACTGAACATGGAAAGATAGTGCAGGAATGGGGCCTCAGAGGTGATCTCGAAGTAGCGGATAGAGCTGTCACCCTGCAGGTGGTACGTGCAAAGGGAGGGTCAGCACCAACAGATGTCTCCAGTCCAGCTCCTCCAGGCCCTTCCTGCCCATCTGTCTGCCCCCACCCCCTCCTGGCTGAGCCACCTTGCCACAGAGGTAGACAATGTTGGTGTCAGGATCAAAGAAGGGCAGCAGGACTCCACTGCTTGTGTCCAGTTCCTGCAGGGACAGTGGCTCCTCCAAGTGCTTCTGTAGAGACAGGTGGGAGATAAGAACAGGCTGGGCCATGTCCGGTCCTGTGATGGTGATCCTCACTGGACAGTGACCAGGTGAGGACCCTCCCAGACCAACTATTGGAAATTCCCATCTCAATTGGGTAAACTGAGGCCCAGAGCCATCTGGCCAGGCAAGTGGTAGGGCAGGGACTCCAGCCTCCATTCCCAGCCCAGGTGTACCCTACTTCCCATCACGCACTTACTGTGTCCCACAGCGCCACCTGCCGCTCGCTCATGCGGCTGAAGCCCGTGGTCAGTATCTTTCCCTCTGATACAAACACGGCGTGCACAGGCCGAGTCCCCTCATGGGGACGGTCCTTCTCCTGCAAGGAGAGGGTGGTGGTAGGTCAGACACCCATCCACACACCCTAGCGAGCAGACCTAGGTGGGGACAGGGGAGTACAGTACCCTGGGGGGTACTGTGGATGGGGGTAGTGGGCTAATGGTCGCATGGTCAAGGGTCAGAGTTCATGGCA